ATGGAAGCTTTAACAGATGCACGCGAGACGATATTTATTTAAGATTTTCTGTATTAATTAATTTTCGCAATAACGTAATCAGCGCGATGAAAGTTATTCGAGAGCGACAAATGATCATTATTTTTGCATCTGCTCAGTGTCATTCTCGATTTGATAATTCGAGTATTTCAATTGGATATTCGCAGCAGATGATTTCACTCTCAGAAGTGTTGAATGCAAAACTATTTCGACTGCGGAATATGAATTTCAACTAATTTTTTGGTTTATATTTAGAATTATTTACACTTGATTCACTCCTTCGCTATGTAGAATTTGGAGTTGTTTGTGCTATGCAAATTTCGCAAATGCTTGTGTGCTACCATTTTGGCGAATTTTAACCTCTTACAACAGATCTGTGCTTATTTTATGTTAATAAATTACAAAACTGTATCAGTATTTAAAACATTATTTTTTATTTATATACACGTTATGCATTCATGACATAATTAGTTTCCTGTTCTAGTAAATAATATAACTCGTCTAAAAATTTTTCTAAACTTCCTAAATCCTAAATTTTTTTAACGTATTTATTGAAAACTTCTACATATACTCGATGTCAGGCATTTCAAAAGTATGTAGTTGAAAAGTCAATATTCTCATCGGCACATTATATCTTCACTGGTTATGAGTAACAAATTAACGTCTATTATGTATATTTATGTACGCACTAATCTGACTTATTTATATGCGCATTAGTATATGTGTATATGTATTTATGCACTCATTAATCATTATAGATCATGAGAAAACCCTTTTCCAGATTACTTGTTTAGAAGATGAATTGCTGCCTGTCAGCACTTACGTTAACTTCCAATAATTCATTAGAAAATTCTTCGGTCTCCATAAGGTAATCCATCTAAGCTGCTACTACCATAAAAATAGTGGTTTTTCAGCGTCAGTATAAGTAACATTATTATCAAACCCTGTCAAAGAATGAATTGTAATATAAATTATTTCAGAGTAATTTTAAGCTAAGGGGCCCTGGCTGATCAGAGTTTAAGCTGTCTGATATATTGAGTTATGTTCTGGCGATATAACATGCTGTTAATTGAAATGTTACAAAGAAACGGATATCATTTGATGTTCATGTACTTCTAAATTTAATTTTGGAAAAAATAAAATGCATCAAAATTACATTATGGAAATTTCTTAAACTTGAAGAGTTTCGTAGTGTCACAATGAGCATCACATCTGCAAGAACATTCTAAAATATTTCTAATATAAGATGATATGTAACGGGGTCTTAACATCTATCGCTACTTGGAGTACAGAAGCTACTTTAAGGGATTTTTGAGGGGGGGGGGGGGGTACTCCATTTGCAAAATTTCTTCTGTGTACGAGTCTGGTTGAAATATCCTAAATAGAATTATATTTTTTTTTATTATTTTAGGTTATGTGAAAGAACTGATTTCGAATCAATACGCCCTTGTTCGAAAAATGATGAATCGGCATTGTTTAGATAAATTACTGTGTAATATTTTGGGGATTCTTTGGGTATGCTTTTAACATGTTTCTTTCATTTTCATATTTTTTTAAATTTTACTTAGGATCAGTCAGTGTAGGTTTTATTTATACCATTATTATCTTAAATTATTTTTTAATTGTAATAGTTATGTAAAATTTACACTGACAGGTAAAATATCAAGTTATAAAAATAACTCGAGTGAGCATTTTTAATAGGAAAAAAAAGTTCGATTTTAAATTATTTTATTATTTCAGTTGTATGTAGTTGATAAACCAGTACTGTATAGATGAATTACTTTTTAATATTTTGGGGATTTCTATTGGCATGCCTTAACCATATGTTTTTTTTTTTTTTTTTTTTTTTTTTTTTTCTTATTTTCGGATTGCTTAAACTTTTAATTAGGGTCAGTCAGTGTAGATTTTATTTATACCATTACTATCTAAGATTATTTTTAAGTTATATAAATATTACACTGAAAGGTAAAATTTAAACTTCTGAAAAATAATTGAAGTGATTATTTTTAATGAAAAGAAAAATTCCGTTTTAAATTTTTTTTATTATTTTAATTGTATATAGATAAGACTTTCTTATTAAACAATAACTTACTATTTCTAGAACAGCAGTTGCCTTTATTTCCTGAAATTGCAACAATATGTAATATATATAATATATATATATATATATATTACTATGTTATAAGTCGGCTTATCCATATCAAGAATTTATTTTAACTTTTAGTACTAGAGAATTCATCCAGTAAAACGAAGCTCCGTAAATTCAGAAAATACTAAACATATATAGTATGGTAAAAAGGAAAATTCATCTAAAATATTTCAGATTAGCTCATTTAAATTTGAATTTGTGAAAATGTTCACCTATTTGGGCTACTAAATTAACTGTTGTAATTATATTAATACTGAAATCAGAAAAATATATTGTTGCAAATCTTTTCTTCCTTAGTTTAAGAGCTCTTCGGAAATCCCCTATAATAAAGAAAAGGACAAAATGTCTGTTATGCAAAGTTTTAATAATATCAGACTTAACCTATGCTTCAGAGACGTGGACTCTGACTGTGAGGGAAGAAAGAGCCTTGGCGATCTTTTGAAAGGGTTCTGTGAACTATTTTAGTGCTATTTTGAAGAATAATAGTTGGCGTAAATGGTATAACTTCGAATTTTATAAAATTTAAAGATGAGGATATTATCAAATCCATAAAACTAAGTAGAATACGATGGGCAGGTCATCTCATGAAAATGAACGCAGAGAAAAAGGGCCTTAAGGTCTTAAGTACGAATTAGTAAAAGAAGAAAAATTCGATCAATGTTAACCACGAGAGACTTTTCGAATTCTTCAGCAACAGAAGAAGAGGAACATTACTACTAGATTACAAGGAAAATTTAACATCATACCTATATATTGTCATTAGGTTATGTAGATACAGGAAACATGAAAATTGTGCAATGCCCTCGCTGAAATTCGAACAATGGACCTCTCGATTGCTAGTCCTACATGCTATTATAAAACGAAGCCTCGGTGTCAATGAAAATACGAAAGTCACTTTTCATTGTGGTAGAGTAGAAAAATATGTGAAATGCGTAATTTTAGTTCCTACATGGTTGTGTCATAACTGCACTGCACAATTAAGATCAAATGAACCTTCTGATGGTTGCGTCAGAAGATGGCTTTTAATAAATAATTAGATCAAAAGTTAAAGAGAAACAATATTGTAGTAAACATGGACTGTAGCCTTTTGCTTGATTTGGATGAGAGGTTTACCGAAAATGAAGAAGTAGAAAACAAAGTAAGGGATAATAACTGGTAGAAAGGGTGAGAAAATTAAAAATGATTAACTGTGTTGAATGATTTAAAGCAGCGGTTTTCAACTAGCGCGTACCATCTAAATAAAAATTGAAAAATTTCATTACCAATTTTACAGTGATTACATTTCAATTTCTCAATAGTAATATTTAAAAAAATATATTTTGTCCTTTGTACAATCTGTTGGCTGTTTGTATTAAATAGGCACACAAAAAAATATTTGATTAAAAATTGGTTACCATCTTAATTATCAAAATTTAAGTTATAATACTTTAAAATTTATTGTGAAATTTGGCCTTGTTTAAGAGAGATGAATTTCTTTATGTCTGGTCATATTTCATTTAGCTTTAACTGCAAATTAGGATCCGCTTTTAATTTTGTTCTGCTTTTTTTTTTTTTTTTTTTTCCAAATATGGAAGAAATTCTTTGCTCACACAAATAGGTTGTGCAAAAAGGAAATAAAAATTTAATAACTTTATTTGAAATTTCTTCAAATTCTTTTTTCAGTTCAGCCAAAAGTTAATGAGTGTGTTATTTTTGAAATCTTCAGTTAGAGTTCGATCATAGAAAATTTCTATCAATAGTTCTTTTTTCTCACGAGATTTTTGAATTAATTAGTTAAAATTACTTTGTTTGTTTACGTACCACCTATTTTCTCTCGCGTACCACCGGTTCAGAATCGCTGATTTAGAGTATGATAAAAGGGAAGGACGTCAAAGTATTTTATCTCCTGATAAGAAATGCGACTAATCTGTCCTCTATTTTTGTCACAATATATGCAACTCGAAGAGAATCTTATTTTATGATACCAAAAGTGGTGATTAATCGTAACGTTCATCAAAACTGTTCTTTATTGAAGTAAAAAAGGTTCATGAGTATTCCAGATTCAGATTTACCGACTAAGAATATGGCTTCCGAACGGTGATGATCAATGATCGAGGCATTTTGTTCATGTCTAACCAGTAATATACGGATAGAGGCTGTTCCAGTATCATATTTAGCTAGCTAATTAAAGTATCGGCTTCCGTCTGTTATAATGTGAAATTATTTGGACGAGTGTTCCTGTTCACAGACTGTTCCGGACTGATATTTAGCGCGAGTAGAGACAGTTCTAAAATACGAGGGGTTATCCAAAAAAGTTTACAAGGCAAATAAAAAAGTATTTATTAACAATAAAAACAAGATACAAATGGAAATCAAGAAACACATCTGGCCTTCACTTTTCCACATAATCGCCAAACCTGTTTAGGCATTTGTCAGAACGTCCGACCAACTTGTTTATCCCGTCTTGGTAGTAATCAGGGCCCTGCTCATTGAGCCATTTCTAGGCAGCTGTTTTCACTGCATCGTCTGAGGTGAACCGTGTTCCGGATAAGTATCGCTTCAACGCGGGAAAAATGAAATAGTCACTTGGAGCCAAATCGGGGCTGTATGGGGGGTGATTCCAGACCTCCCACTTGAACCTTTGCAGCAATTCCTGAGTCCGGCGAGCTGTATGGGGCATGGCATTGTCATGCAGAAGAATGACGCCTTTGCTCAGTAATCCAGGCCGTTTGTGTCGGATGGCTTTACGCAATTTTGTTAAAGTGGCACAATAACGATCGGCCTTAATGGTATGGCCACGCTCCAAATACTCGATTAGGATAACACCAGTCGTATCCCAGAAAAACGGTTGCCATCACTTTACCGGCAGAGGGTGTGACCTTAAACTTCTTCCTCGTCGGTGATCCAGCGTGTTTCCACTCCATCGTGGCTCTTTTGGATGTGGGGGTGAAGTTATGAACCTTGTTTCATCACCGGCAACGATGCGATCAATGAAGTGTTGGCCGTCTGAATGGTATCGCTGAAGAAATGTGAGGCTGCACATCATTCGAGTGGCCTTATGCTCCGCGGACAACGCACGTGGAACCCAGCGGGCACAAACTTTGGAATATCGCAACTCATCGGTTACGATACGCTGAACGTTACCATAACTCAGGTCCAACTCTGAGGCAATCTCACGCACGGTTACTCGTCGATCCCTTTGGATGATTTCTTCAACACGTGCCGTGTTGATATCCGTCCTTGAAGAACTTGGACGGCCGCTCGCTTCCATATTGCGGTTTTCCACATGCTCCCTGCCCGCTTGATAAAAACGACACCATTTCGCTACCTGTTGTCTATTCATTGCTTTGTCCCCGTATACCTCAACGATTTGTCTGTGAATTTCGGATGCGGCCACATTCTTGGCCTGTAAGAACCGAATTACGGCTCGCACCTCTATGCGAGACCACTTTTCTAGACGTCGTGCAATTACTGTCGCTCTTAAGTGTCTGCGTACTGACGCTACGTACTCGCAGAACCGCTGTAGGACAACTAGCGCCATCTGTAAACCACCCGGGGTGGAAATATTCGCTCCCTAATTATTAAGTTTCAAATGCTTCTGCTTGTAACTTTTTTTGGATTTTGGATTAACCTCCGTATTTCTGATATAAGGAGTTATGTAAAGGAGTCTTAAGAGATCTTTAACATCTATCGAACTTGGAGTAGAGGCGCTACTTTAAAGGACTCCAATCCACGAACAGACTTAAGGACCTTAGGTGACTGTGTTAAGGACAGGTTACATAAATTGTTTTGCGGTTTAACTGTCAGAAGGTTATCCCTCATATGGGAGACCAAAGTCTACACTTGTAAGTACTCGTCACCTCCTCCTTGCATGTTATGGTGACCATGTAATATTAAGTCAATTTAAGGAGTGCGTATGTAAATGTAAATAATTATTAAGGATGTCTCTGTATACAAATATAAATACTTATTAATAACTATAAAACTACCCTACTTCTTGACTAATATATAAATGATTATTAAGGAGTTCAGTTCTGACACTAGGATAAAGTCTTTATTTGTATGTCTGTCGTGAAGGTAGTAGATGACGTAGTTTAATGCATTAATGTGATACTTCGAAAAATAAAAAATGAATGTTTATGTAGCTATGATTAAGCGTTCATTTGTGTTCGACAGTATAATTAAGGAATCGTAAATTGTTCCATCTAATCATGCTTGGGCAAACGTGTTCGCGACTGTACTTGACTGACAAAATGTTCATTTGGAAAAATAGAATAAATCTATGTTTTTACAAGTTTTGATACTTGATTATTCAGAGCACCCTTACATATTTTCTAGCAATACAACATGAGCAGATCACAACAATAAATTCAAGTAACAGAAATACAATATTCAAATAATGATTTTGGTTCGTCCCTATTTTAAAATGAATGCACTGCATAATAAAATACTATTACATAATAAAACAAGAACTAATTTTATGTTTCTATTCCTCTTTCTAATTTAGTTTCTACATTTCTGTTACCAACCGCCATTATGAATGCTAAATAAGATTCTGAAATGCGCATCAAGTTTCTCTTACAAATAAAGATAAGTTATATATTTTAAGATAATTGTGATAGTAGTTTCCTTTTAAAATTAAATATCACTAGTAAGATTGTATGGTTGCATCACCCAGTAGCTTAGTCTGCAAGATCACTAGACATTCATAATTCTAGCCGAATCATTGTGACTCCATCAGTTTCCAAGCGCTTAAAGACTAAATAATAATTCATCCCTTGGTTTTAATTCAGGAGAACTGACTGACTGTATGTCGGTTTTCGCAATTTTCCCCATGTGTAACATGAATACAAGCCAGTTTTCTAACTTAACCTAATCGAATTGAATTTCAGTCAGTGATGTTGACTACCTACATAGATACCCCATGTACCCCATGTAAGCTAGTTCGTAAATCGCCTTAATGCTTATTGCATTAAGAATGCGTATAATCTTCGTATACTTTGTCTTATTTAGGAAAACAATATTTTTAAGGGAATTACCTTATTCCCCCTTACATATTTCTGTGATGTAAATGGTCTGCATTTCCAATTAGCATTGGAACCACACGGACGGTATAGTGGTTAGGGAAGTGTACTGAGGTCCCAAAGGGCCCGGAGAAATGATGCCACCGATACTTTCTCCGGAAATTTGAATCCCGGAGAAGGCATCTTTATAACTGACCGTCCCTTCATAGGAAGCAACGGTGGCTGCCTTTCAAGCGTCTCCACAATAAAATGGCCACCATTTATGGCCTTAGTAGTGGCCAATGCTGAATAGCAACTGCCCGCCAGTGGATTAAAGAAAAGTGATCATTGGGAGATTTATGAATTGAATTCCTGCAAGGACAAAATTAATTTGTCATAGTCCCTGCGTCAAAACATCCAATGAGTTCTTTATAAACTTGCAGTTATTTTAAAACTTTATGAAAAATTTATTGGACTTAAATATAACATTTTGATGACCTATAATATTACATGGTAATTATGTGGGCCCAAGTTTTTATTCTTTTAAGACACAAACTATCAAATTAACAAGTGTTATAAATTAACGTCTTTCATCCAAACTATCTATAAAATTTTAAATTAAAATTACGGGAACGTAAGCCATTACTTGATTTTATTTGCTTTTGTTGTATGTACAAAAGATTAAATCATTTCAGTATTCAGAGTGAGCTCCTAAGCTCTCATAATGAGTTTTTATTTTAGCCAGTTACCCAGTCCCATGCTTTATTAGTCATGCTTGAAATTGTGTCCCAACTGCAATCGCAATTCCCAGTGAAAGGATTGCAAGAACAGCCTTTAGGTGGACAGCAATGTCTTGGTCCGTGCCCATAGCTTCCTTTAGAGCAAGATTCATTAGGCTCGGCACATCTCCTGCAAAAATCAAATCAGAAATGAGATAGTCATATAACACACATAGTACGAAAATTAAATAACAATATGCGATTGTAATTAAGAGAGAACGTCAGAATTGTTGAAAGAACACATTTCTGCTATTCATTTCACCATATTGATGGCAATAGCAAGTTTCCATCCTAACATACAGCAATGAAATTTGACATAACTGATGCTAAGAGAGTGAAAACGTGATTTGGAAAAGAAAAAAATTCCTTTAGATACAAAAATAGGGCGAAGTGATGACAGCAAGCGTAAGTTAGCAAAGGAAATTTTATTTTATAATCCAGATGCATTGTTAGATTTGGTTATAAACTTGAAGAAAAAACATCTAGGAAGAGTATGGGACACCTAGACTACTCGGAAGCCCGTAGAAAGGCAGTTAAGCGGCATATTAGGGTCTATCAGATGAAAACCGTCAACAGCCATCCGGAGAAATATTAGTATGAAAAATATGAATACATGCGTGATCACAGATTGACATTTAAAGACCATAAGCTTAAAATAAGCTATGACCTTCCAGATAGAGAAGTTTTCCTAAGGTTCCTAAGGCTACGTGCCGGGTGCTCACCATCTAATAGTTTTGCAAGTTTGAAGGCGTTGGTTATGTGCTTAAAGGTGCTGCTCGCTTTGCTGTTCACCAGAGCTATAATTGAAATACAACATTAGACATTTAAAGTTCCGGTTGCGGAGAACATGGGACAATTTACGAAGACGGAAATGGCAGACATGGGCATTGTGTATGGTAATGTTTATTTCAACGGAAAGACTGCACCACGGTTGTTTGCTGTACGATAACCGAGCAGACATGCGCCCGATTACGGAATGTTTGCGGTTTTGCACAATAACCTGTGTGAATAGAGTACATTCTGCAAGAGCAAGCGTGTGACAGTGTGGCTATGAATGATATATACGCCTGCCTTATATGCCTGCCTGCGAATGATATATACTCCTACCTCGTCTTAGAAGACGAGGTACTGATTCGAGTGTAAGAAGCTCTTGGCGCAATCACACGAAATATGGTAGATGGCAGGATCAGAATATGATACAAACAGAACGAATTCATAGACTCAGCTTGCTCTTTACGCATGGGGCAGTGGATCCATGGTCTGAAATCTATTTTCTTGGAATCTATGATATGTCTGGAAACAACTCTGAGTGCCACTAGGTTATCTCAAAAATCATTGCTACTCATTTATGCCTGTGGTGTTTCTTGATCAGATGGTCACTTACAACATCTTAATACTCCTTGTCACCGGATATGGTTAGTCTTAAATTGTTTTGGAAAGCTTAATTCTGAATTTAAATGTCTTCTATGGCCTGCTGGACCTCCTAGCATCAATCTTATTGAGTATTTATGGGCAAAAGGGAGAGATCACTTCAATGTTTGGTAACGCCATCATTCAATATGGATATACTGATAATTACCACAATGTCAACATGGGCTAATATTCCCAAGGAGCGGTATAAGCACCTTGTTGAGTCCGTGCACAGAACAAATACAGCCTGCTATCAAAGCTAAAAATGCACCAACGAGTTATTAGAGTGTCTCCAAAATTCTTCCCATTCATTTATGTATTTTGGGGTATTTTTGCATCATTGACGTATTTTTTTGGGGTGCTTGTTATGGGATCTGCTATTATTAGACTGAAATTGAATTTAAGGTTATATCAATAAGAACAAAAGCAAATTAATATAAATTACAAAATTACCAATTATCATAAAAATTAAATTACAAAATTAAATCTACATCATCTTGAAAAGAAATTCATATTTTTGGTCTAAATTTTATGAGAAATAGATATGCATATTTTCTAATAAAAGAAACTAAACATATTATCGTTTATCTAATTCTGTATCATGACATATAAATAGATGCTCACGAGCAAAGACTCACTAAAAATCTTTGTTACAAAATCGCGTGGAGCTTCTTTTGCCAAGGGCAAACAATTTAAAAAAAAAGAAGCGTAAACTACTGGATAAAGGAGAGAAGTAAAAAAAAAATATTCTATAATTTGGGGGATGTTAAAACAAAGATATTTTCCTAAAAAATATTATTCAAATGTAAGTTTTAAAACAATTAATTAATTTGTGAAATCGTAATGATTTATGTATTTAACAGAAAACATTTCAGGGAAATATCACACCAATAACTTAATAAGAATCTTATTACACCTTTCACTGCAAATATTAAACTAAATTATTTAATTTAATTGTATTTTATTACATAAGTAAAGCATATATATTCAGACAGGTTGTAGAGACATTAGGTTATTTTTAAAACAGGAGTGAGAAAAAAAATGAACAACGCCCTCTCCCGGAATCGAATCACGGACCTGTGGAATACGCGCCTAGCCTGCAGACCACTACATTGCGAAAGCATGCTAAGGAGGCGGGAGAAATACCTTATATACCCCTTTTTAAACGGCGACTGGTGTTTTTAGGGGACTCAGTCGCAAAATCCTGTGTGTAAAGAAACATCATCCACCACCCTTTTAGTTTGGACGCCACTGTAGAGACATAAGGTATTTGGGAAGCAGGAGTGGTGAAAAATGAGCAACGCCCTCGCCGGGAATCGAAACACGGACCTCTGGAATACGCGCCCAGCGTGCAGACGACTACACTACGAAGGCGGGAGAAATACCTTATAAGGTTGAACTTTTATCATTAAATTTAGCCCTTTTAACAACCCATATATAGTAAAATAATTCATTTGCACTATTATTCATTTCGTCCGATTTTTTTCCCTTTTCGTTTTGCTATTTTTCTTGAAGCAACGTGTTTCCTAAACCTATTCTAAACAACTAAATTAATAAAACTTCAGTTAGCTTTTGTATTAGAACAAATTAAAAGCAAGGTTATGTTTTCCAGACTAAGGCTTCAATCTAGAGAAACTAATTTTTTATTTTCTATAATCATGTGCGTAAAATTCCATACCAACAAAAATTAACCTTTATAATATAATTTCATCAGACTAGTGCTTCAAAAATGCCTGCATGTTTCTAACTTGCAAAATAAAAAGCAAAATATTTTAGTGCCCATAACTGAATCTTAGCCAAACATTCTAAGGAATATTTAATTCAAATTCTGTCCTCCGTTTCCAATGCGCTGTAATCATAAAATGTATATTAAAATAATTATTTTGTTAAAAAATAACAGTAGAAAAGAGGACTATTTATTAACTACCAGAAAGTATTTAATTTTTCAATATGTAAAGAAAATCTACCGAAGGTTGATTTAAGTACATATTTCTTTTAAATAAAAAATTATAATAATATAATAATTGTACGCAACACATTTTGGTGTCAGGAGTGAGGTTCGATTTCCGCGTCGGAGAACCAAAAACGTGTTGCGTGCGTACAGGTTCGTTACGAATTGAATGCACAAATCCGATGAAAAGGAAATAAAGTTTATTATTATCACAACAAATAAAACAAAATGCTTAAATTTCCACAGATATGCGTACAGTACTGCAATATCTCATACTAGTTATCTTTTAAAGTACTCAAACGTTCAAGAGCTTAATTCAAAACAGAGAAAGCTAACCCGATTTCACCGCGAATTCGCTACAGTAAACAACAATAGTTTTGTGAAAAAAACTCATAAAACAACTGAGCTGAGATGTTTTTCTCTGGCTTTTATAAGCTTTTTAATCAGCACGAGCATAGTCTGGTATTTTCTCGATTTTTGCCAAAAAGCAAAAGCGTAGAATTACGGGATATCTATTTATTAAATACCATGTGCTCCTGTATTCTTTTATTTTTCCGGCATAGCTTTCTCTTCAAACAAGTCGCATGCAATATTGCACGGGGATATGAAACAATTTAATAACAATTTTATTAAAAATAGCAAACTTGATAAATCAATACAAAAATCGTAACGATATATATATATATACATATATATATTTTAGAAGTAAGAGGAACGTTTAAAAGCTTATGCTAAAAAATACATTTGACTCTTTATAAGACTTTTAACAGCGTTACCGTAAGCGTTGTAGTAAAAGAAATTTGATACCTGAAATATGGTAGTGTATTTAATTATGGCAAAGCACACTAGGGCTATCTGCCTAAGAGGAGAGATGCCTTCGTGGAGGACTTTTTAAGGGAAACTGGCTCGTATACACGTTACACATGGGGAAAGTCACGAAAACGCCCATGCAACCATGCCCGTTCGCGGGATTCGAACCTCGGACCGAACTACCAGCGTTCAGCGACTTTACCGCTCGGCCGCTGGTTGGCCTATCTGAAATATGATAGTGAAAACATGAATACTGACATTTTGTTACTTTTTAAATACACTTTCTTTCTCTTTCTGGAAAGAAAATTTGTAATACTAAAGGGGAATAATAAATATTATCATCAAGTTTCATCCAGTTTGCTTGCATAATTTTTTATATCATCAGTTTTTCTTTTGTTTACTTTTGGACATTAATGTATTAGTAAAAATCATTTCAGAACTACGTAGGTAGGTTTGAAACTCTTGCCAAACGATTTAAATCACGTGATCCGCGTCTCAAAACAGAACTTTTGTAGAACTAATAATGGACGATGTAAAGAAAAAGGTGTAATCCGTAAATTTTCGTCTGTATATTGCATCCATTATTCTTAGAATCTTCCGTATCCTTTTATTCTTAGAATGTTTATTCTTGATATTTTTTATAGGTAGGTTGAACGGAATACTCGTAATGTTACCGTACTTTTTCTGAGATTGACCGAGCGTAAATAGGGGGTTCCAGTATAAATCTGATTTTTTATGCATTCCAAACCTTTGCAATCGCGAAGTTGGTTCCAAACCTCAAGAAATTGTTTACTGAAAACATTTTGTTACGAAAACCAGAATTATTCACCATTTAAAAAAATATCAGGAACGATATGGGGTAAAACAAGCCTATGGAATATGACGAATTTTCGTTTGTAGACTAAATACCTATGTATAAATGCTCAATTTTCCGCCAACATCCAAATAAACCTGAAGGGTATTTAATGCCAAATATGAAAGTAACGGCAAGTATTTACTTCAGCTAATTGTTTTACTATTATAATGTTTACTTTTTTTATTTTTTATTCAGTAATATCTTTTCCTTCCTGATTTCTTTACTAAAAATTCGTCACTAGTGAAATCTAGTATTTTTACCATAAACATGCAGAGTAAGTTTAAAACCTAGTGAAGAACATACAATATGAATTTTCTTCAGAAGAAAAAATATCTGGAAGGGCGCACAGTGATTTCATCTGCCATTTGTAATTGTTGATGTAAAGATACATATTTTCTGTAATTGTTCTTAAGTACTCTGTATATATGTAGATATTAAATTCTTGTACTTACGCTCTTGCTTCAGGAAATATATCGATATCTGAAATGGAAAGAAAATTTAAGATTATAAAATAATAAATGTTTAATATTTTATAAATTATATTATAATTTAATTTATGATATCAATATTTGAATTCAATATTTCTAATGCAGAGGCTGAGGCAGAAAAACTTGGTAGCTTTTAAAATGAAATAATACAATAAATATTAAGAACTAAATTTTTATCCATGTTGCATCCATGCAGTTTAATGTATACGATACTGAGAAAAGATAAACACAAAAATTATGTCAATTAATTTCTGAAAATGGCCAATTAATTTTTCTCCGTATGGCGGTTACCTTATATTGACAGTCAACTTTTGTTTAGGTAAGGAAAGCACAGGAAAACTTCGAAAGGCGAAAGACCAAATAACCTTGGATGGTCACGCAAACACTTCCATCGAGTCTCAACCCATGCAGGCAGTTGTTCCATTCCTTTGAAACCACAGGTTTATTAGGTTTATACACCTTGTACGAAGTTCTGAACTTCTGGTTATCTTGATATTATTATGTCATCCATTGTTTTTATTTCTTATACTTATTTAAAAGTTCAAATTAGCCCTCGAAGTAGAAACAATACACGTCATTTAAGTGTATTTGAATCTGGGTAAAAGAGAAAGAGAAAGACTAAACACATACTTAAATTTCAATCTTGATTCTAATATTTCTAAGCGAGGGAAAACAATGCTATTTCAATAATGCCTTCACGTATGTAACGATACATCTGTTTTTCCACTTATGGTAAGTAAATTACCTTAGTTAATACTTTGTTTGAAAAAGAGTAGAAAGTCCTTCGGTTTATCACGTGATTAGAATACTAGTATTAAAATTTTTGAAAAGAAATGAATTTGTAATTAAACGGTTTGTTGCAAATAATTGAAATAAAATCTTTATTCCTAAAAGGAAACTTCTTGTCTGTGAATTTCAAGCGAATCGTCTCATTTATCTGATTTAATGAGTATCTTTAGTCTAAAGCAATCGACAACATCAATGGCACGCCTCCATTTTGTAATGTGAGAATTTATTGCTGGCATGACGTAAATTCACTTAAGCTTATGTATTTCATCATCGAATATATCCTAACTAATGAAGAGAGGTCAACTATAGACCCAGGCTGTGGTTGTTTGCAAAATCAAATGTTTCTCCATTGGGAAATTTGACAGTTCATGACAATTCTCGGCCGCTGAATCAAAAACAAATATGTGTTACATAATGAATTAAAAGCATACATTACAATGCCATTAACATTCCTGTGCTGGAATACATGAATAATTTCTGTATTGAAATATAATAAAATGTTTCTACTGCTAATAAGTTGATACACCTGTAACGCTTAAACTAATCAGGGACCGTTTTTTGGATTTTATCTGGCAGCGTTTATGCATAGGATGCTTTTACGTTATCTGATGAGCACAATACACAAAATCAACTTTTCGGATTTTTATATAATACATTGAAGTCATTATTTTCAATATGTGTTTGAAAAATTACAATTCTGAGCTTAAAATAAATTAACTAACTTTATTCTTTCTCCCCCTCCCGATGTTATTATCTTTCGTTCTTTCGAATGAGCCGGTCTCCGGTAACGTGGGACTTTTATAATACTTAGAAATTATACTGTAAAGTTATTAACTTATATACTTGTCTATTTTAATTCCTATACTTCATTTTGCCTTTAGTTATTTAAAGTCAATCTTTTATTTATTCTAATACAGAAGTAAAGCTACATTTATATTAAAAAAAAGAAATATATATATAAATAAAACAAGTTTAACCTTCTAACAAGTTGGACTGAACATCTTCCAGCGCCAGTAAGAGAACAATAATGCAGATCAAATGTACACTCATCTGCAAAATAGACCGAAATAAATACTCAAAAAATATTCACAAAGAAATAATGTCAATATTAATCATAAAGCTTGTAGAGACATTAGGTTATTTCGAAGTAGGAGACATGAAAAATCAGCAATACCCTCGCCGGGACTCGAACCTCGGACCTCTCGAATATGTGCCGAGTGTGCTGATCATTACATCACGAAGGAATGCTATGAAGGCGGGAGAGATACCTTATATATTCTCCCTTTTAAATTCCGGTAAATTTGCTGAACACTGGGGATTACGGAAACTAATCGCCAAATCATTATCCACCACCGGGATAATTTTAGTTCGGGTGCCACTGTACATTTAGCGGATTATTTCGTAGCAGGAGACATGAAAAACGAGCAATGCCCTCGCCGGGACTCGAACGACGGACGTCTCGAATACGCGGCGAGTGTGCTGAATATTTTACCACGAAAGCATGCTAAGAAGGCGGGAGAATTACCTTAAAAGCTAATAAAGTCTAACGAGACATTTTTATGGCTGTAATGTAAAATTAAATTATTACATTGTACGATTAATAATCTGTATAAAACCAATTAGAACAAGGATTACACTCACAACAATAGAAATTACAAATACTTAAAACTTGGCAAAACAACTGTCACATTCTTGCCACTAGGTGGCGGGCATCTCTTCCTTTACTTTTGCTGTAATTAAGTTCCGAGAACCAGTCGAGATTGGAACCGCTCTGAGGAGCGTAAAGACTCAGAACTAAAAATGTACTATCTTAAAATAATTATCACCTACCTTGTAAATAGTGTATATTAGCTTTTTATTTCAATAAATAATTAAAAGACAAGATGGCTTGTTAGCAGTAATAGAAACTCTTACTGAAAACGTGATTATTAGAAGCCTGGCGTCGTGAACACTGAAGATGCAGCAGGTAAGGAATTTTACATTAATTTTATTGTAAATAGAAGAACCTGATGCAACAACAACAGTCTTGTATTTGTTGAATCACTGAAAATTAGGTGTTTTATACTTTTTATGACTTTTAACTTTGGCTCATGGTGCCAGAAAAAACTAACCAAAAAAAAAATCAAATAAATCAAATTCATAATATATCGTAAGATCAATTGTATAGCTGTAATTGGTTAGTACAATAGGGCGCTTGTGAAGCCCACTACGGAAAAACAATAATACAAATTCAATAAAACTCCATGTTTCTTAAAAAGCCTCCCGGCTCAAACAAATGGAGTGACATGACAGACCACCCAAAAAAACATAATTACACAAGGTAAATAAATGCAATAAATTATAGACACACATTTATTCTCGAATCTAATTCAGAGTGGCCAGACTACCTACAACAGTTATTAATATTCCACATATCAATTAAGGTTCATTATCAGATCAATTTCATTAAATAAAACATATTATCCGCATGCGATGCGTGCGTTGTTATACATACAACAATTTCAAATTAACTAGAAGTGGACTGTACTAAATATTTTATTCGACAACTTTAATCAAATGCGTGCCATCTTTCAAGCGATGACTTACTACTAACAACAACAGCAATAAAAAAAAAACTGAGTAAGCGTTTACAGGGTTGCTGTAATGAACATCTGCGCCATGCAAGGCGCCAAGAAGAGAAAAAATGACGTAATCTTACAGTTAAATAGTCTTAATGACTTAACATACCCCCCGGCATTGAAGGGTTACTTCAATAATTTCGTGCGATAATACTCATAATAACCTACAAAATTGTACAATTACTACCTTATACAATAATGCAATACGAATAACATCTCTTAATTCAATATAATAATATTCAATTTTCAATAAAAATTTTATACACAATACAATGTACAATACAAGTTTTATAATAATAAGCTAACACTTAACTAACTTAGGAAGCTTCTTCTTGGGGTAAAATTGCAATTTTTGTAATTCCACGCTTAATGATGCCCTTTGCTGTCTGTATTTCTACTACTCTAACCTTACCGTCAACTCCAGGAAAAATTCTTGTAATGCGCCCTAACACCCATCTACAGACAGGAAGCTCATCCTCCTTAACTAGTACTAGCATACCTATTTTAATATTCGTTTGTTCTACCTTCCATTTTGAACGCTGTTGTAGTGTGTTTAAATAGTCCCTATGCCAACGATTCCATATCAACTGGACAAATCTGGTAGTTCGTTTCCATCTTGAGAGTCTGTTTTCAGGTATATCAATTAATTCGGGTTCTACTATAGCATTCATTCAAGGGTCTTCCAATGAGAAAATGACCTGGTGTTAATGCCTCTAAATCATTTACATCGGAAGATAAGGGAGTAATAGGGCGAGAATTTAAAACAGACTCTATCTGAGTTACTACAGTTAATAACTCCTCGAAAGTCAACCTTGCATTACCTACAATCCGCTTTAAGTGATATTTCACGGATTTTATTCCAGATTCCCATAGTCCACCAAAATTAGGTGTCCGTGGGGGAATAAACTTCCATACTATTCCTTCTTCACCTAAATAATCTGCTAATTTTTTGTCAGGATTTCTAATTAAATTGTTAATTCTTTGCAATTCGGCATTTGCGCCAACGAAGTTTTTTGCGTTGTCTGAGAAAATGATTGAGCATTTTCCGCGCCTAGCAATAAATCTCTTTAAGGTGGCAATAAATGCGTCAGTGGTGAGATCACTCACTAGTTCGAGATGCACTGCCTTTGTTATAAGGCAAATGAAAAGAGCTAAATATACCTTATGAAGAGTTCCTTTCCTCTGTCCCTTGTACCTAATAAAAAATGGACCGCAAAAATCGGTGCCGACATGATTAAAGGGTGAGCTTGGATTTACGCGCTCTGCAGGTAATGACCCCATAATTTGTTCGATAGTGACTGGTTTATTTTTACTACAAATTATACATTCATGGGTAATCTTTCTAGTTAAATTCCTACCTTGTAATGGCCAAAATTTCTGTCTCATAAAACACAATAATGCTTGCGAACCTACGTGTAAATATTTCCTGATGATAATGCTCAGCAATCAGCTTAGTTAGTTTGCATTTAACAGGCAAAATTATTTGATGTTTTTGTGAAAACATTACATTGGCCCCTTGTAATCGGCCTCCTACTCTCATTACATTATTTGCATCCAAAAAAGGGTTCAAAGAAAGTAAATTACTTTTATTATTAACGGGTTTACCTTGTGCGAGGGAGTTGTAATCTGAATAAAAACTACATTTTTGAACCTCTCTTACTAAAAAGGATTCTGCCTCATTTAACTCCTTTGAACTTACTCCTCCTGTTCTTCTCTGTGCTCCTTTCTGTTTTGCACACCTAGAGTTCCAAATGAACCTGAAAATATAACTAACAACACGTAATAATTTTAAATAATTGTTAGTGATATCTAGGACATTATCAATAAATTTTGAAGGCAAAGTGCATAAACAAGCAATGTCAGTTCTTTTTCTCAGTTCATTAGAAAATGTCTCTGTTTTTTTCTAATTGTTCAAAGTCAATGTTCTTGTTAGGTATGACACCCTCACTCAAGAATGGAGGACCTTTCCACCACAGATCAGCATCATGCAGCTTGTCAAAATTCAGTCCTCGGGAAATAAGGTCTGCTGGGTTCTCCTCTGAACGCACATAATTCCACTGGCATGTATGTGTTAGCTCTTGGATCTGCAACACTCGATTAGCAACAAAAGTTTTTAGTACATGCGGGGGATTCTGAAGCCATGCTAACACTATGGTTGAGTCACACCACAGACATATTTTACTGATGTCCAATTTCAATAAAGGCACCACCTTTGCAACAAGCTGTGCTAGCAGTACAGCTGCGCAGAGTTCCAGTCGAGGTACTGTCAGCGGTTTTAGTGGAGCTACTCTGGACTTGCTGCAAAGCAAATGTGAAGATAAATTATTGTCACTTCTACAGCGTAAATAGATGGCTACTCCGTATGCGTGTTCTGATGCATCTGAAAATCCATGAATTTGTATATCAGAAAAACTATCCTGTAAAACATATCTACTGACTTTCAAATTGTTGATAGATTGCATTGAATCAATAAAAAGTTGCCAATCCTTAATTATCCTTTCGGGTAGCGGATCGTTCCAATCAAGCTTCAATAACCAAAGTCTTTGGATGAAGATTTTTGCTTTTGTTATCCCTGGACCAAGCAGTCCTAATGGATCATAAATGCGAGCAATATCAGACAACACTGTTCTCTTTGTGTAAGTAGTTGGTTTTCTTGATGGTTGATTTGTACGAAAAACAATCTATCTTTGGATTCCATAATAATCCTAAAGTTTTGATGCTCTGATCGTCATCGAAATTACTGAAAGAATATTCCTCTTGTCCATCCGGAAACTGCAAAAGATCAGGATGATTAGCACACCATCTGTGCAGACGCATTCCTCCACGTGATAATAGGTTAATCAATTGCGACTGTAATTCTTTAGCCTCTATTAGAGTATGGGCTCCTGTGAGTACGTCATCGACATAAAAATCCCTTTGTACTATTGGCGCTGCTAACGAAAAATTATTTTTCTCGTCTTCTGCTAATTGATTAAGTGTGCGTGTGTTGCTAGATATGGTGCGTTGGAAGTACCGTAAGTTATAGTCTTCAGTCTATAGACCTTAACTGGTTCTTCTTCACTACTCTTCCATAAGATGCGTAATAAATCTCTTTGATGTTCTTTAATCAAAATCTGACGATACATTTTTACAATGTCTGCTGTGAAGGCAATTTTATGCGTTCGAAATCTGCAAATAATATCAAATAGTTCGTCTTGAACTAACCCTCCATTCAGCAGAATATCGTTTAACGAAATTCCAGTAGTCGTAGGAGCAGTGGCATCGAACACTACCCTAAGTTTAGTGCTAGGTTTCTCGGGTCTGAAAACCCCATGGTGAGGAAGATAATATGAGAAACTAGAGCTATCCCCTTCATCAATTTCTTCGGAATGGCCTAATTTCATTATATTCCTTAATGAAATCTTCGTATAAGTGTTTCATTGCGGGATTGCG